TAAAAAAATGGATTGGCTGGTTAACCCATTAGATTCAATCCAAACTGTCATTCCTATATAAGTCTCTCTCTTTCTGATTAGATGGATTCCGATAATTTTGAAGTCAATGAATGCCAACATGAAACAACTCATTCCCAAGCTTAGACTAGAGCACACTTAACAGTGACCTTTGCTACTATGTTCATTGCAATTCTAAGACTCATCTGAAAGCTGTTACTCCTTCTAGACCTATACATAAGTAAAAATAACTAGTTTCACACAATTAAAAAACTTTATTAAATGTATTTAATTTTCACAATTTCACATAAAATATATATTACATTTTCTAAAATATTCTTAACCACATTTATGATAAATAATATTTTTTATTTATTACCACCGAAAGAGTATTTTTAAATTAAAAATATTAAATAAATTTGACTTAATTAAAATTTATTTATATTTTAGTTTAAAATTTTTAAGCAAATTTTTTATATAAATTTAGAGGATAGTATCCCTAGAGCCGTTATGGTTTGGTAACCAATGAAGGAATATAAATGGTTAAAAGCATAGTTAAGCAATCATTTATGAAAGATTTATCATATTATATTATATTTTATCTTTCTAATAGGCTTGGGCAAAATTTTTTGACCGATCCAAAATCAACTAGACCAACGTTCAAATTTGATGAAGTGGATTGCTACTCATGGATTTCGAATTTTTTTGGGTGTAAATTTTGGGTTCAAATGGGTTTGAACGATTGGGCTCAGTGTTGGAATTTTCTTATCCAATATGCCCGAACCTGAATCTTCATCTTCTTCGTCTTCATCTTCATATTCTTCATCGTTCATCATCTTCATCTTCTTCATTGTATTCATCATCATCATCATCTTCTTCTTCTTCTTCTATTTCACTCTGCAAACATCCTCTTCTCTTTAACCTTTCCCTGCCATAGCCACTGTTGCTGAGAAGCTCCCCGTTTCTTGCTCTGTTTGACGAGGGTGGTGATGCATAGATATGAAACTTAGCAATTTTCCCCAACGAAGCAGTGATGGAGACCGACAAAGGACGACGGTGGAGGGCAACATGATGTGTAAGAGAAAAATTTTCAAATCGATGAACCTAACTGATTAATTTGCAACTCGCACGGATTGAACTCGCTAAAAATCAAGGCCTTCATCGGTCAGATGACTCTTGATTTTTCTTAATTGATTTCGAACGATTTCAAAGATTTTGGCTTGAAATCGGCTGTGATCTACCAATGCTCAGACCTACTTTCTAATCAAGAGAGATTATGAATACGTATGTAGATAGAAATGAATTTTGTTTTTCTAAAACGAAAATTTTGTAACTCATAAAAAAATTGAATATATTGTATAAAGATTAGAATGATTGGAATGATTTTTCTTTTTCTTTTTCTTCAAAACAAAAATTTTATAAACACAAAAAAATTGAATATTTTTGTATAAAAAAATTAAGCTTTAATTACTCTTTTGATTTTTATAATTATATAAATTTTACTTTTAATTTTATTAATAAAAAATATTTTATTTTAAAAAATAACGAATTTTATTGAATTTATTATAATGAAAATCGCATAATAAAAAGCTAAGTTAAATATATATATATATATATATATATATATATATATATGAGGGATTCTCTAATAAGTTAGAAATCAACTATTTATCCCAATTAATTCACATTAGAAGTTCGAAAAACAACTTGAATACTTAGACCATTATCTTTTACGGTCTTACAAATATGATTTCTGTTGAAATATAATTAAAGTTACACATTATTAGAATAAGAAGAAAAACATAAATTTATAAACACACAAATATCCTTATTAATTAAAAAATCTTTTGAATAACGATTAAAAATAAACCTATAAAAATTTAGACTTAAAATAATAATATTATATTAATATGAAAACATGTATATCAACCTCTCCGTCTTAGAATAGTGGATTAAGCCTAACTCAACCCTACAAAACCGGCTTGTAAGGTAAGGGTTGCTTTCCACTTATATATTATTCAATTGCCTAATCTCTAGTCGATGTGGGACTTGGGTTTTTCCCAATACACCCCCTCACGTCCAGCACTATTGGGCTTGGTACGTGGATAAATTTTTTTTTTTTTTTTATGTCAAAGTTATATTTGTCTCTATAATTAAATTAAATTATAGGTTTGAAAATGAAATCTTAATTTAAACTAGTGTAACTCAAATAAAATGCCAAAAAAATGTACACTTAAAAAATACACTATACATAAAAAAAAAGTATTAGTAAAAAAAATGTAGTTAAAATAACATATCTCTATTTCATTAAAAACAAGAATAGGTAACTAAAAAAAGATGTTATGAAATATACGCATTGATTCAACATGAATTCACCACAAGTAGGTTGACCTATCAAGTTAGCATAATAGATTAAATGTATTGGCATATTCATTTATCTAACTCACACTCCTAAAAAAATGGATTGGCTGGTTAACCCATTAGATTCAATCCAAACTGTCATTCCTATATAAGTCTCTCTCTTTCTGATTAGATGGATTCCGATAATTTTGAAGTCAATGAATGCCAACATGAAACAACTCATTCCCAAGCTTAGACTAGAGCACACTTAACAGTGACCTTTGCTACTATGTTCATTGCAATTCTAAGACTCATCTGAAAGCTGTTACTCCTTCTAGACCTATACATAAGTAAAAATAACTAGTTTCACACAATTAAAAAACTTTATTAAATGTATTTAATTTTCACAATTTCACATAAAATATATATTACATTTTCTAAAATATTCTTAACCACATTTATGATAAATAATATTTTTTATTTATTACCACCGAAAGAGTATTTTTAAATTAAAAATATTAAATAAATTTGACTTAATTAAAATTTATTTATATTTTAGTTTAAAATTTTTAAGCAAATTTTTTATATAAATTTAGAGGATAGTATCCCTAGAGCCGTTATGGTTTGGTAACCAATGAAGGAATATAAATGGTTAAAAGCATAGTTAAGCAATCATTTATGAAAGATTTATCATATTATATTATATTTTATCTTTCTAATAGGCTTGGGCAAAATTTTTTGACCGATCCAAAATCAACTAGACCAACGTTCAAATTTGATGAAGTGGATTGCTACTCATGGATTTCGAATTTTTTTGGGTGTAAATTTTGGGTTCAAATGGGTTTGAACGATTGGGCTCAGTGTTGGAATTTTCTTATCCAATATGCCCGAACCTGAATCTTCATCTTCTTCGTCTTCATCTTCATATTCTTCATCGTTCATCATCTTCATCTTCTTCATTGTATTCATCATCATCATCATCTTCTTCTTCTTCTTCTATTTCACTCTGCAAACATCCTCTTCTCTTTAACCTTTCCCTGCCATAGCCACTGTTGCTGAGAAGCTCCCCGTTTCTTGCTCTGTTTGACGAGGGTGGTGATGCATAGATATGAAACTTAGCAATTTTCCCCAACGAAGCAGTGATGGAGACCGACAAAGGACGACGGTGGAGGGCAACATGATGTGTAAGAGAAAAATTTTCAAATCGATGAACCTAACTGATTAATTTGCAACTCGCACGGATTGAACTCGCTAAAAATCAAGGCCTTCATCGGTCAGATGACTCTTGATTTTTCTTAATTGATTTCGAACGATTTCAAAGATTTTGGCTTGAAATCGGCTGTGATCTACCAATGCTCAGACCTACTTTCTAATCAAGAGAGATTATGAATACGTATGTAGATAGAAATGAATTTTGTTTTTCTAAAACGAAAATTTTGTAACTCATAAAAAAATTGAATATATTGTATAAAGATTAGAATGATTGGAATGATTTTTCTTTTTCTTTTTCTTCAAAACAAAAATTTTATAAACACAAAAAAATTGAATATTTTTGTATAAAAAAATTAAGCTTTAATTACTCTTTTGATTTTTATAATTATATAAATTTTACTTTTAATTTTATTAATAAAAAATATTTTATTTTAATCTTTATATATTATTTTTATTTATTCTTAAATTTTATAGTTTCATAAATTTATCTTTTAATTTTTAGAAAAATTACTAATAAAAATTAAAGATATAAAAACTAAAATAAAATAAATTTAATTTTAAAAATTAAAAGATAAAATATATAAAATTATAAAAAAAATAATTGAACCAAAATTGTATATCTTTCGTATACAAGAAAAATTCAATTATTTACTAAATATGTTAATTTTTTTTAGAATTGAAACTGTTTGACATCTTTCTAATTTTTTTATCAAATCGAGAACTATATTTTTCTTTATCACTGGTATAATTATTGTAACTCTTTGACCGACGGTTATACCATTTACATCCCAATAATGTGATCTTATGATTACCTACACTTTCATTTGAATGAAGACGATGAAAGTGGAAAGGGATTACGTAAAGGATTTTTTATTTTAAATATGATTTTAATTTTTATAAAAAAATCCATCATTTTATCTTTATAAAGTTTATAAATAATATTTTTGATCGTTATAAAATAAATAATTTATATTTTAATTTCTATAATTTTTTGTTTATATTTTTAAAAAATATAAATTCTTATTTTTTATTCTTAACTATTATTAAAGATAAATAAGAAACATTTATTTTAATAGTTTATAAAAACTTTTTTTCCGCTAATTAATAATACTAATAACTATAATTAACACTTAAAATAATTACTTAATCTTTTAAAAATAAATGAATATTTAAAAATATCACTTAGCGAAAATAAAAAATAATAATAATAAGTTTTATAAAATAAAAATTTATTATTTTACAAAAATTAAAAAGATATTTAAGACTAAGATAAATATAAATAATGTAATAAAAGCATAAAAAATATTGAAATAAATTAAGAAATAGGTATTTTGTAATTAAAAAAAAAGACGATACAGAAAATAATATATGTGTTGGCGGGAAAATGTACCGTGAAATCCGGTGAAGTGTGCGAGGAAAGTTTCTGAATAGTTCTCTTCTCTCTCTCTTTCTCTCTCTCCAATGTATAAAGTGTGCGGTTACAGCGGGAGCCAACCACTTCCATCCCCTTGTGTTGCACAATAAATAATACCCCCTTCTCTCTCTCTCTCTTACACACCCACTTTCCCTCCAACTCCCTTCCTTTTCCGCCGCAGAGTCACGCATTTTCACTCACTTCACTTCACTTCACTTCCATTTCCAAACCTTATTTACTCCTTCCTCTTCCTAACCAAAATGGTTCAAACCCCCAAGTCCTCTAAACCCGAAGCCATTTCCCCCCTCACTCCCGCCCAAACCCGCGAACCCTCCTCCCTCCCCCTCCGCCGCCGCAGCCTCCGCCTCGCCCCCGCCGCCGATTCCGCCGCTAGGGTTTCCGCCGGTTCCCAAGGGGGCCAAAAGGGAAACGGCTTCCTCAACTTAAGGTCGGGAAAGAAGGTTCTCAAGAGAACAATGACCGACGATTCAGAACCACAAGTTCAGAAGGCAAATAACCATGACTTACCAGAGAAGACTGCTGACGTGGCAGTTGCGGCTGATAGCAATGTCAACCTTGTAGCAGATAACTCCGACCCCGCCGCAACACCCGCTAGGGTTTCCACCGGTGACCGGAAGCGCAAAACTGACTCAACCGGTTCCCAACAAGAGGGATTTCTCAACTTAAGATCAGGGAAGAAGCCTCTCAAGAGACCAATAACGAACGATTCAGAAGAACAAGGAAATGATGATGACGTGGCAGTGGCGGTTGATGACAATGTGGTAACACCGGAATCCAGAGCCGAGAACTCAGGTATCAATGTCGACGTTATTGCAGATAATGTAGCATCGCGAGTTCGAACACGTTCTAGAAGCTCCAATGGAGGAGAGCGTGGTTCCGGTTCCGGTTACCGGATGGAACGGTTCCACGACATAGCGCGGGAAAACGCGTCGCGCTTCGCTCATTTCTTACCGGAAGAGGAACCCGATGACCGGTCAGCGCCGGTTCCCGAACCGGCGCCTGAGGAAATCGAGGACTGGCCCGGTCCTTTCTCCACGGCTATGAAGATCATCAGAGACCGAGGGACGAAGTTGCAAAACGCTGAAACGAGTTCGCAAGCGAGATTGTGTGAGTCTATTGCGTGGGTTCCCGAAGCGAAGAAGGGGAATGTAGGTGTTGGTGTTTCGGTTCCGTCGTTGCAGGAGATGTGTCTTAACATTCTTGCGAAGAATGTTGATGCGATTGCTTCGCTCGATAGTGTGCCTGATGCGCTGAGGCACCGGCTTAGCCACTTGCTCTGTGACTCGAGGAGAATTAATAATCACTTTTTGGAGCTTCTTGTGCGTGGAACTCCCACGGAGATTCGGCTCAGAGATTGCTCGTGGTTGACGGAGGAACAGTTTACAGAGTGTTTTCGAACTTGTGACACTGGGAAGTTGGTGGTATGTGGTTTAAGCTTTTCGATGGTTTTTCTTTTTCGTATTCCTTGCTATTTTTTGTTGTGCTTCAAACATGTTGATTCTTATTTTATGACTAAATTGTGTTTATAAGCTACTATTGGGGAATGATTAACATCGAGTTAACCGAGTGTTATATTTTTATTTTGGTATTGGAGGTCTGTGGGGCTTGTTTGTATGTGAGTAACATTATATTTCTATTTTTGTATGGTTTTATGTTACATGAATGAAGTTTATGTTAGAACTACACTTTGGTTGTATTTCTGATTGTAATTCTGATTTTACGGTATTGGTTTTCGGCTTTGCAGCATGTTGTTCATTGTGTGACCTGTGTGGACTGCCTTGTCCATTGTTCGTTCATTTTATTTTTGTAGGTGACACGTCCCCACCCCTTAAGAGCATGGTACCTTATGTAAATATGTCACAACTATTCATCGATAGGTTTCTTATAAGAGATCAAATGATAATTTTTGGCCATATAACAATACAACCATATATGAACAGTCACGTGATCACTTAAAAGAATTCTGTGACTTTTTAAAAGTTGAGTTTTCATCTCGACCCTTGATAAACTTTAATGGTTAATATTTATTATTCTCATTTTCACTATATACATATCTCTTTCTGTGTGTGTGTGTATATATATATATATCATTTCCCTTTGTTGAATATTGATTTTAACTTACCAGCTGAAATGACTACTCCCTATATCTTTTTTTACTATTACTGTCTACATCAAGCTTAGGCTTATATTTGACAATTTGAGTTTCCTTCATATGATACTTAGCATTTTAAGTAACCTCTACTGTAACATCGAGCAAAATGAGAGGGTGATTGTGTGTTGTGGCTAGTAAGGTATTATGCTATGAATTAAACTGCAGAATCAATATTATTTTTGTTTTCATTTTAAAAGCTTAATTTGCATTGTGAAAGATGAGTGTATTTATTAGACAAGATAGGTTTAAGAATAAATGCATTAAGGAGAAAGTTTGGGTAGCACCTATTGCAGAAAAAATGGTTAAAGCTTGCTTTAGGTGGTTTGAACATGTGTGAAGAACTGTTGGAACCACATTAAGAAGAGTAGATAAATTGAAGAGTAACCTGATTGCTAGAGGTAGAGGGTCTGAGACATACATTAAGCAAAATCCATTAAGAAGGATTTAGAGGTCAATAAACAGGATTTATTATTATGAGTGTTTGGTGTCATTTGATTATTTGATATATGTAACTGTCTTTTACCTTATCGGAAAAACTTTGATGTTGTTGTTGACTTGTTTTGTTTTTTACGTATATTATTTATTTTTCATTGCCTATGATGCACTGATACAATAAACGTATCGGATACGACACGTATCCGATAAAGCGATACGATTATTTTAAAATATATAGGATACGATACTTGTAAGATACGTGTTATCATATGTATTAATGTTCATACAATATAATAAATGTGTACTTGTAATTTTGATCAAAATTCATAAACATTAAATATATAATTGCTATTTTGCAAATCCAAATTAAAACATACTTATTGTTCATTATTAAAAAAAATAAATTATAAATCATTTAATCATAAATTACTTGTTATTATTTACAAGTAGAAATAATATTACCAATTTCATCCTTTCTTATAATTATCTATATAGAAGATAATTTTATTTACAGTTCATCAAGGACAAATATTATTATGTTTCTATATTAAACATGTTTATGTATCTTATTTAGCTGTAATGGATATTTCATAATTTTTCAAAATTTTGAATACTTTATTGATTCGTATTACCAATAAGTATCGGTGAAGTATCTGAGAGTATCGGAATTGAATAAAATTTTCATAATATTTTTAAAGACTAGGATACTTCATTGACATGTATCGGTGAAGTATCCATAGTATCGTATCGGATACGGATACGTGAAGCAAATTGAAGTATCGGTGTTTCATAATGCTCAATTTTAATTGTGTATTTAGTGACTTGCATTTTGTTTTATTTCCTATTGATTTTTGAATATTTGATTAGCTCCTTGTCAGCTTCTCTGTTTTCAAAACCCTATTTTAACAAGGTTCTTGTTTTTACATGATATAGGTACTGCAACTTGACCAGTGTGGGCGTTGTTTGCCTGATTATGTAATAGTAGCTACTTTGGCACAGTCACCAAGGCACTTATCTAGATTAACTACTCTATCCCTCAGTGGTGCATGCAGACTTTCCGATGGAGGTTTGCGCGAACTTGTTTCCTCTGCTCCAGCACTTAGATCAATAAATCTCAGCCAGTGCTCCCTTCTCACCTCAGCTAGTATTTATATTTTGGCTGAATCATTAAGATCTCTTCTGAAGGAGTTGTACCTTGATGATTGCCAAGGAATTGATGCTGCACTAATTGTGCCAGCACTAATTGAGCTTGAACATATAGAAGTGTTGTCAGTAGCTGGTATCCAAACTGTTTGTGATGAATTTGTCAAAAATTACATTGTTGCACGCGGGCAAAACATGAAAGAGCTTGTATTGAAGGACTGTACGTAAGTACCACTGTAGCAGTCTGTGTCATGTCTGGATCTCCTTTAAGATGTGATTATACATTTTTTAAAGTAGTATTTTCATTTAGAATTCCATTTTAGAAAGCTTGGAGAACAAATTTCCAATCAAAGAAAAATTTAACCCAAGTTGGCATATATCGTTAATTGATTTGTTGTCCGATTGTTTGGCTAACTGTTAACCATTCTTTTCGAACATGGTTTAGTTTTAAATTTTGGCTAGTTCTTTTTGAAATGGAACACATTTTCCTGTAATGGTAATATTCTTATTTTCCTTCATTTTCAAAAGTTATTTGTCATTTAAGTTTATTGATTTATATTTCCTAATGGGCAGAAACTTGACCGATGTATCAATCAAAGTTATTGTTGAGCACTGTCCAGGATTATGCGTGCTTGATCTTATGAACCTGAGCAAATTAACAGACTTATCTGTAGGATATCTTGCAAATGGTTGTCGAACACTTCACACACTGAAGCTCTGCCGAAACCCATTCAGGTGTTTTTTGTGTTTATTTTGTTTATTTCCTTACTAGAAGTTGCTTTTGATACCCTGACTTTTATCGTATACAGTGGGCTATTTGCAGGAATTGAGCCATGGTAGTATTTAATTCAGTAGGATGGATGATGATTATCTTTGTTTACATGCACTAATTGTTTTGTTTTCCAGAAGTTGAAATTTTCATACATTTTTTTCACATGCATTTGATTAAATGATAATGGATCCTCGCATAAGAAATTTCCACATTGTAGGGTCATTTTAAAGAGAGACACATGCCCTAAATAGGATCCTATTTTTTTTTTTCTCGTATTTTATAGTTTGTCTTTCTTCATATACACTACCTGTCATGTGAAAAACTTACAAAGAGGATTCATTGGTTCACAAGCCAGCCAACCCACCCATGTTGAAGGTGTACAGTAGGCATAAGGAACAACTGGAGTAACTGTGGGATGACAGTTGTTAATAGAAAATAATTCCAAATAATTATGTATTAGGGATACAGGCGATAATAGGAAACTGCATAATGAAATTTATATGTTTAAAATAACTGTCAGCAGTTCTATATCTGAAATATATCTAATAGTAGGGCATATAATGTGGGGGAAATAATTGTTATGTGCAGTTTGTTGGCAGAGGTTACTCTCTGTAGGATACTTTTGTAACAAGCAAAGTGTTGTATTGTGTTTCATTTGTGTTCAGTAATATATTTCATCAATTAATCTCCGCTGCTCTAATATCATATTTTTTCATTTGAGAGTTAGTTATTCCATGTTATTGTCATGTATGCATGGTATGCTTGAAAGATGCTTATTGGATCTAATCATGATATCTTCCAATTGATGAATTAATAATCTATCTATTTTGTTGGTGCAGTGATGAAGCAATAGCTGCATTTGTGGAGACCACCGGAGGGTCCTTAAAGGAACTGTCACTTAATAATATTAAGAAGGTACATTGTTTATTTGCCTTCATGATACTATATAAACAGTTATACATGCTTGAGACGATAGTACTTGAACATTTTGACATGCTCTGGAAGAGCTGCTATGATTTTAAAAAGATTAACCTAGCTATTTCAGTATTGAGCTTGGCAATAGCCTGCAGAACAAAGTTGTTTGAAGTATCATCAAATTATCCATGTTTTCTTGGTCAAGACTCTATTCACTTGTCAGTAAATGCATGTCATTTGGGTGTTCTGTTATCAGTGTAAAAATCTGCATACTAATTTTTGGGTATATTGTTTCACTCACGGGTCTCATTTGATTTGATCCAGGTTGGTTACCACTCAACCATATCGCTTGCAAACCATGCAAAAAACTTGTATTCTCTAGATCTATCTTGGTGCAGAAATTTAACAGACAATGCATTGGGTTTGATTGTGGATAGCTGCTTGGCGCTGAGGTTACTTAAACTTTTTGGATGCAGTCAGGTATCTATCATTTAACCTGGCCTTACTTTTGTGCAATCGAATTATATTCACTGATTGTAACTTTGTACATTTTTGTCTTGATTGTGTACATACTGCATTGATATGATTCACCGGAGTATATATAAAGAAATTCTGCGATTTTTGCAGGTAACAGATGCATTTGTCAATGGCCACTCAAACCCACAGATCCAGATAATTGGTTTGAAGATGTCTCCTGTGTTGCAACATGTCAAAGTGCCAAATCCTCATCAAGGTGCTTTGAATTATTCATCCGTCTCCGTAGTAGATATGGTATAAAATATTATATCAGATTCGAAATATATAGTAGCATGTAGCATAACTATGTGAACGAAGATATTTCCAGTAGATCCAGATCAGACAGACGAAAGCTTCTGTTAACTGAAGGGTTTTTTGACTTTTTACGTCTGAGTAGCCCGTTTTTGTAACCGAGGGTCATATATCTCGTGGCAATTCAATTGATGTCACGACAAACAAATTTTGGTCATTGTACGAACTTAGACCCTGATTATCAGGTATATTCACTACCAGATTGTTTATCTTAGAATACGGACGACACCAGCGATTTTGGCCCTTGAATTTCTTGTCAGTTAACCGGCTTGACCTTCTGTTTACAGTCAATGCAAAACTCGTTTTAGGATTGCGTGCAAATAATACTGTTATTTTCATTATTTTGTATTCGAATGCTACCGTATTACGGGTGTTGTTCATTGAACCTATCATTCTAATTCAATAAAAAATAAAAATCAATCTGAAAAACTGAAACAATTAAATCGAAGAGGTTTGATTTTGATTGCTGTTCAAGTATGTTTAATAAAAGACAATTTATAATAACTATTTAATCGGAAACAGCTTTTGTAGCTTAAGTAAATCCAAGGAAAGGAAGATATTTTAGTCGGGGAATTCCAAACGAGAAACCATGTAAAACGTTGCACTTAAAAACAGCTTTTTTCAATTCCAATACATAAGATCAGAGTTTGGCGACACAAGTTTTTTTTTTCTTCTCTCCGTTAAATATAATTTCAGGAAGAGTACATAAAAACTGGAGTTTTGAAAATAATGGAAACTTGTTACCTTGGGTACAAGCATGGACACCTACATGTATTTACACAAACTAAAAGCTTATACCTCTATGATATCAGGACGATTCGAATTTTGAAATTCCCAATTGCTCCAAAGCTTTCCAATTGGAGCGTTAGTAATAATAATCTTTCGTATTTTATGTCTGTAAACGTAGCAAGTATGTTTCCTCTACTAACGACCTGGAGTTTGCCATTTCAACCATCTGAGAAGGGCAAGAAAGCTTCCAGTTACTGCATTTCACAAGAAGAAATACACATGAACTTATAACAATTTACCTCGAAGCCCATCTTTTGGTACAATATCTGTGCAGGCCTATTATTTTTGTCTACATGGACATATACTTGTGTCACACCTGCTAAACGAATCCAGGAATATATGAACTTTTAGTCTTGTTTCATGAGCTATATCCGGCAGATAAAAGTAACTCTCACCACAATGTTTGTTTATATTACCATTAGATTTTGCAGCTTCAATAGCAAAAGACATCATGTTCCTGGCAATTCCCTGCCGCCGAGCCGATTTAATAACACACAAGTTCGCAATGTAGCCATATCTGCTTGGTGGTGTTCTGTTGATGCTACAAAACAGAGGAGCCTTTACCCGTTCCTGCAGAAATATTTGAGTTGCAAAATGCATCAACACCATCAGTTTAGTAGACAGTGCAACAAATGAGATACAATGTGTGATACCCCTGGAAAGGTCTCCCCTTGCAGCAAATATCGGATGTTCAAATCAAGGGTTCCTACAACACTTTTTAATATTGAGTGCTTTCCATTCTTCTGCTCCTTCCTCACCTGTTAAACTTGACTCCAAACACCATAAGTTGAAACATTAAGGACAACCAACTATCAAACTAAAAGGAACTCAACAGGTGTCTTCTCATTTTAATCATCAAACCAGAGTTTTAAATTAAATACTATAACCTGAAATTCTCTAGTAAACCAGAATCTAAGATAAGATCGATTTACCGTGATGATACATGCGCAGCTATCGCCATTTTGCACCTTGCACCGCCTTTTCAATGCATTAAATTCCTAAGCAATAGGAATTCTAGTTAAGATTTGTATGATCCACAATCTATTTATAAGTACACAGCAATTATATCAATTCCTACCTGCTCGGAAAATTTCCTTTTGTAGTTATCAACATATCTGGATAAAATATAAGGAGATCAGTTGCACAAATCATCTATTGAGAACCAAAGAAAACATAAACTGCTGTTGTCATTAATATGCCATAAATGTAATCTAATGTTATCATTAATCCAATGTTAGACATCTTACATGTTGTTCAGATAAATTGTGCTCACTGAATTCTAATGTAATCTGCTAATACACCATGCTAAAAACTCAAAGTTGAACCACAATGAAAGCCACAAATGTTTTCACATTCATTCCTTACACACAATCCTTGTTTATCTCTACCAAAAGATGTCTATGAAATTAACATTTGACCTCTTCTGACGTATATGCCATGCCATACCTTTCATATGCTCGATTCTCCCAGTGACTTTCTGCCCTTAACCACGCTGCTGTCTACCACAAAATTCAAAGCAAACAAATAAATAAATACAACAAAAAAGGTCAGTATCATAAATTATACAATACTCATACTTCACATTTTTTCTTTATCTAAAGATTTTTTATCGCATACCCAATACTCTTCATCAAGCACAGCTTCTCGTGCAACAAATTGCCCAAACTCAAACCTATTTACTCGACCCAATTCTTGATCCGATGGCTGCAATCGATCAAATTGGAGATCATTGGAGCTTAAAGTTTCCACTTTGGAAACGCGTCGAGTTGAAAGCTGCACAGAGAGTTCTTCCTTCTTCATATTATAGTTATTATCACCATTATTCTTCACTGTTGGAGAAAATTTCGAATCCATGGCCCTGTTCGACACAAACATAGATCAAAAGCAAGCTAAGAATCACTAAAGCAAAAATTAAAAATTAAAATAAAACGGTTCCCAAAAAACAAACTAAACTGAAAAGAAAAGTTGAAACTCACATGGTCCACGAGGCAGTGATTCTCGGGCATTTATAAGAATTTGGAGACCCATTGAAGAACAAGGAATGAAATTCAGGTCTGTGAAGTGGAATCGTCGACATGGGAGGCATGTTTTTCTTCTAGATTCAAGGGCTTATTGAAACCCCCCCCAAAAAAAAAAAAAAAGCTTGAAAAGAAAATATGTTATGGTTTGTATCCTAAGAGTTGAATTTACATGCGTAGGAACAAACCCCTTTTGTTGTTCCAACACGGCAACATGTGAAAAAATCGAAAGGTGAAGAATTTGGTAGAGGAAACATGTGTTGGAAGGAGCACCTATGGTTGGAAATTACCCTTTATTTTTATTTTTTTTTCTTTTTGGTTTTGTTTCTGGTTCTTGTTTCACACGTTTGAGAAATGGTTTTGATGGGTTCTACGGTGGAGTTTGGGATTGATGGTATCGGTGTGGTGGGGTATGCTATGACTTGTGTCATGAGTCACGACAGTGGATATGTCTATCCGTTTTATTTTTGTTTCTCCTCTATGATTCGGATTACACCATTTCTTTGATTCAATCTTAATTAATCTCCCCAAAAGAATATTCCCATTTAGATCTTTAAACAAGTTAATCATTTATGCTTTGTGATTATAAATTAATTGATCATTTTCGAAGGAGTCGACGTGGAGGGGCAACCCACCTATCCCCAACTCTGCAATGCATGAGTTGGCTTCTGGATAGAAAATAAGTTTGGATAAATATCGACTTTTATGGTTTTTGAAATGTGCTTAATTTTGAAATTCATGAGTTGCGTCATGGTCGTCCAATCAGAAAATAAAAGACGAGTTTCGGGATTGTGGCAATGGTTCGAAGAGAAATGGGTTCAAGTGATAAAAATTGTGTAAGTTCTGCCTATAAAAAAAATAAAATTGTGGCGGGTAAGAATTGAAAACTAAAAATTGGCATTCCATTCTGGTAAAGAATAATTTTATTTCCGGTTGAAATAGGATAACCCAATAGATTTTTACAAAGCAAATAACATTTAAAACAATAAAATATTGTAAAGAAAAATATAAGAACTTAATTATCATTACTACGAATAATATTTGGTGATTTAGTTGGTAGATATTCATAATCAATATATATTATTATTATTATTATTATTTATATTTTTATTATTATTATGTATTTTTTTTCCTTATGTAATTATTTGGTCTATATGTACTTATAAATAAATCAGCTTTTTCCTAAAAATAATATATTTAAATTTTTATTTTATCTTATTTATTTTATTTATTATTATCTTTCTTTTCATAACACTTGATCACTATAATAGTCTTTCCTTTATTAGCGTAAAATGTTGTGAAGAATTCTTTTGAAAATATTCATATTTTAAAATTCATTATTTTATTTTTAATCATATTCTATTTTTAATCATATTTTATTTTTAATCATATTCTTTTATGTTATATATTTGATAGAATATTTGTATTATTTATATGATTGTTAAATTTTTTTTAAAATATAATTAGGGGGTGTATTGGATTAGGATTTTAAAGGACTTTTTTAGTTAAAAAAATCCTGCGGATTTTAATAGACTTTGCAGGATTTTCATGACTTTTAAGATTTTGCAGGATTCTATAAGACTTAAAATCAGGATTTTAATGGATTCTGCAAGACTTTTAAATCAGGATTTTAATGGATTTTAAAAAAAATTCATACATTCAGATTTAAAAAGAGTCAAAGACAAAAATAATAAAAAAAAAACAATAATGTCTAGATAAATAATAATAATAATAATAATAAATAATAATAATAATAATAATAATAATAATTGTTCATAATATCCTATCCTCTTTTTATAGCATCTACTATCAATTGTAACAATTCATCGGAATCTACCTTATTCCAAGCTTCATATTTTTTTCTCTTTTCCTTTTCCTTTATTATTTCCTTGTGAATCTCCCATTTGAATTACTAAAACAAGTGCATAAAGTCCATGAGGCATCACTCTTTCTTTTGCTTGAAGACAAATGATGCACTTAGAACAATGCCTTTGGATATCTATTCTTATATGTGGCCAATAGAGTTTAGATTTTAAAAGGCTTTGGGTTTTGTTAACCCCAAAATGGCCCATGAGACCTCCCTTATAACTTTCCTTAACCAAAAGCTTTCTAATGGATCCTTGAGGTATAAAAAGTTTTCCTATTTTAAATAAACATCCCTCAAGAAGATAGAATTCATCAAAAGGCTTTTAGAGGCACTTGGCATAAGTGAATTAAAACTCCTTTATATTATCAAATCTAAGAATTTAAGAGCTCAAGGTGAAGAGTATTGTATGCCTTCTAGTGAGAGTATCAACCACTACATTATTCTTTCCCTTCTTATATTTGATAATATAAGGAAATTGCTCTAGATATTCCACTCACTTTGCATGCCTTTTATTCAACTTCCCTTGCCCTCAAATGTACCTAAGTGACTAATGATCGATATGTATGATGAATTCTTTAGTCACTAAGTAGTGCTCCCAAACTTGGAGGGCTCTAATAACGGCATACAACTCTTTGTTATAGGTAGAATAATTCAAGGTGGCCCGTGAATTTTTTCACTAAACTAAACAATTGGGTGGCCCCCTTGAAGTAGCACGACACCTATGCCAAAATCGGATGCATAACATTCTAGGTCAAAGGTCTAACAAAGTTTGGAAGAGTTAGAATGAGTGCATTGGTGAGTTTCTCTTTTAGATTTTTAAAAGCTTTTTCTTGGGCTTCACCCCAAATTAATTGTACATCCTTCTTAACACGTTCATTAAGAGGGAATGCAAGTGTGGAGAAGTCTTTCACAAATCTTCTATAAAAGCTTGCTAAACCATGAAAGCTTCTAACTTTTCCAACACTTTTTGGGTGGGTCAATCTTGGATGACCTTTATTTTCTTGAGCTCAACATGTACTCCCTCTTTGCCAACTATGAATCTCAAAAAATTTACTTGATCTTGACAAGAAATGCATTTCTCAAAGTTGGCATAGAGGTGGTTGTCCCTAAGAATTATTAAGACTTGCCTTAGATGTCCAAGATGCTCACCTAAGGTTTTGCTATATATAGGGATGTCATCAAAATAAACCACTATAAATTTTCCTATGCAATCCCTAAGTATATGATTCATTAGACGCATTAAGGTACTAGAGGCATTAGTGAGGCCAAAAGGCGTCACTAACCATTCATACAAATCAAATTTGGTTTTAAAAGGCACTACGGAGCTCATTCCAATATTGGATTGAGGGCTCATGATTTATTCTCCTTTCTTTTTCTAAGGAGGTCCACTAATACCTAGCATGCTCTTTCATTTTTGTATGCCACTACTAAATGAGAATTGAGTTCTGCTAAATTCATTTTTGTATGTCACTGCTAAATGAGTATTAGTTTGATTGTTAATTTCATTTTTTTGTTCATGTTTTTGGTGACCATTATAGAGACACTGATGCAATAATCAGCAAACTAGGGAAGCTTAAGTTGGTATTTGGTATGTTAATTTCCAAAGCCCTGCTTTCAATGGAATTGAAACTTTTTAATTTATCCATTAGAATATCAAGCATGTAGATTACAAACTTGTGTTTATGTCTAATTTAGTCCCAGAAGATGGTGATGCTCCAACGAAGCTTGATGTTTACAATTTCAAAGGCCTAGGTGTAGCACTTGCTATGTATAATGTTGATGAGGTTTGCTTCATTTCATTTTTTTAACACGTACTATCCCTTAGTGCAATTGCATGTATGCTACTCTGTATTCTCTACCTGACTTTTCTTTCACTTCAAAGACATGATAACTAGTGCAGATGAATGCAAACTTGGGATGGAGTAGACAATATGTCAGGGAACTGAGATGAATAGTTTGTTTGTTTGCATAATTGTATCCATTGTTTATTTCTTCACTGTCTTAATGAATGTCTCATCATAAAAATGAATTATTGCCTCACTATGAATTATTTGAGAATTTATTTTAGCTTCATAGCTTATATATCAAATTAAAAATACAACTTCCTTGTATCATATGAAACTAACATTCCTTTTCTCTTTTTGTTTGGGTGTGTGTAGACTTATTCCTTCTATATCATATCCTTCCATGCTTGAGTATAAATTTTACTGATTGGAAGACAAAAAAGTATTAGTTCAATTACATGTCAGATGAAACTAATAATTGTAGATGGAACTAATAATTCCTTCTAGTTGTCACTTTAGTTCTTAAGATTTTAACTTGATGTCACTTTAGTCCTTAAACGTTATCATAATTTTATTTTAATCAAGTAATTATGACTTGAATATTTATATAATTAAATAAATTATTAAGTTAATATTTTAAATACAATGATAAATATATTCATTATTCAATTGTCAAATTTTTATTGTTTTATTCATTTTATTTTATAACAAATAAAAAATTTCTAGTATATATGTGTGTGTGTGTGCGTGTGTGTTATTAAAATAAAAAAAAATAGAATATCAAAGACATAAAAAATTTAAATTTTGGGAAATGAAAGTGATAGATATTTTTCACAATAGGAAAATAAGAAACAATTTTTATGAGAGAATTAAATATGAAAATAAAATATAAATATAGAGAAACTAAAAACTATTTTTATTTATGTATTTTAGAAAATAACATGGATAAAAGAGGGGGGAAATAGACAATTAGAATAAGAGATATAACATATTTAAAATTAAAAAAAAATAGTACTTTTCATATATTTTTATCTGGTAAAATTATTTTTCAGTATAGAAAAATTGTTCGTCAACCCTTTCCTAAACAACAGGGTCCATCTACTCCACCCTAGAGTTCTCTCCATGCAATAAAGCTGACCAAGATAATCTTCATATAAGCAAACACTTTATGAAAGAAAACTTCACAAGTTACTTAGCCTCTAAACATTGAGTTGAGCTCTAATGAAGAGGAAGACTAATCTTTAGAGGAAATCCCCTTTTACACAATCTTTTTGCTAATGCTAAAAAAGGGAAGTAGACATTAGGTTTTGAACAATTTTTTTTTTTTTTTACATTTTGCTGCATGATATGTTCTGATTAATTATGCTAGGATTGATGGTATATAATTTTTGGTATTGCTAAATTTTTGCTCTAAACAAATATAATTCCTTTTAGATAATTAATTATGAATTTTATCTCTTACTCACGTGCTCTTGTATGAATATCATGAATAAGTATGCTTTGGTAATTGGTATGAATATCATAAATTAATAATGCTTTGGAAAATAGGCTTTTCCATGAAAATAAATGACATACTCTAAACATATGATTTTATTAACACATTAGGCCCAGATATGCACACTACAAGAAAAATGCAAATTACCGACGGATAATTTTTGACGGATACAAATCTGTCCAAAAATTTATATTTTCGACGAATTTTATCGATAGAAAAAAATTCGTAGGTAAAGTTATATTATCGACAGATACAAATCTGTCAAAATATTTATATTTTTGACGGATAATTTCTA